TAATCTTATAACCTTGTCTGTCGAAAGTGGTATTGGCTGTGTAGTGTGTACGTGTTAAGGGTCAGAATTGTATTACAGAAATTCCAATTACCAAAACAAACACGGTTTTTGAATAAGCCACCAGTCCACAAATTTTTGTTAGCTACATCATCCCCATAGGTACATATGTATCTTACGCAATTGTTTTCCCAGAAACTGCAAGTATTGACTGTTTTACCGACGTTTCCTGATGGTCTGGGCCATTTTGAGAGTCTCCCAACACTTTTAAGCTAATTAGAAAGAGTCTTTCTAAAATATCATACTCAAAAATCTAAGTAAAGGCTTGATTTCATCCTCTTTTTCATTACACAAGAACGCACATCTGGGACTTTTGGGGTGCTTGTGAACGAGTGTTTTTTTTGTACCATTAACTAGACAATTTTCTTTGACAATACTTGTTGCAGGCAGGGCCGGATTTAATTCTTGTGCGCCCTTAATTACCGCCCGTAATTAACTCATGGGTAGGTACTTTTGTGAGAAATATTGAATAATCTGTAAACTTCGGGGTCCCTTATAAAAATGAAAGACCTGATGAAAGAGAACACAAAAGACTATAGAATAGCGAAATAAAAATAGTGGTAGTTCCATTTGAAAAAAAAATATTTATAGCACTTTGTATTCAGAAATCTTACCATTTCATTGTAAACACCCTGTATCACTAAATCTAACTTTCTCATTATCAAAGTGTTGCCTTTTACTCGGATTAATATTATTGTTCAAATTTTATTTACTTCAAAAAATGTCGCTACGATTCATCAAAGTGAGTGAGTTTTGCTATGGCAAATTAGTCGGAAAAAAATTAATAAGATCGCAACAACTAAAAATACACAACGTTCTATTTAAAAAAATCATTATTTATTTACATTGTACATTTAAAAATAATATCTATATACGCACAACCATCTATAGTTTGACAACGTGCGCCCCTTGAAACGATGCGCCCCTAGACTTGGGCTTCATTTATTTATTGATTTTATTTATTGTCCCTCTCTTGTTCTGGGCCCTCAACAGGCTTTCGCCCAATTACAGAGTGGCCCGCGTAATGCTTTTTAGAGATGCCCCTGCAGAAGGTCTTAAGTTGTCTATACCAGCGATTCTCAACCTGGGGGTCGCGCGTAGATTTTTGAGGGCCATTTAGGATTTTTGAAGAGGGGGACTGGGGAGTTGAGGGGGTGGGGAGTTGTCACTCATAATGTCATTCTGGTTCACCCTCGATACCCCCGAAACAGTTTTTTCGCGATTTTCAATATCTTCTTTAGTTTGGAAAATATGACCGACTGCATAGTTTTAAAATGGACATTACATAACTGTTGTATGTATTCAACTCACTAACAATAAATAAAAAATATTTAGTTTAGCTTGTAGTTCATTTAACTGGGTTCCTCAATGGCATTAACAATAGGATTAAGTACTAGGGGGTCGCGGTCATCAGACCCAGAAAATAGGGGGTCGCGATTACAAAAAGGTTGAGAATCGCTGGTCTATACTACTCCGGTCTTTACCTTACGAATTAGGCTTTTTGGGCCTAGTGCGCCTTAATCGGTAACGGTAGCTGTCGAGGGGACTTAGATCACTTTGAATTTTCATTCTCTTTCTCGTTAAATTTTTTTAATCGTTTTATAGTATGTTTTTCGGGGCATATTTACCCGTGTAGCCGCAGTAGAATAGCACTCTCAGAGGACACTGATGTGTGTCGTAGGGGTGAGACAGAGTAGGCGCTGACGATTTTACCAATTATCACTTATTTCCCGATTTGTGACAAATTTAGACAATTTTGAACCAGCGGGCCAGTCCGATAGCTACTTTCCAGCTTTGGCGCCACGTGTTACGAGGGATTTTGAATTTTCGCGACATTTAAGGTTTTTGGTTATTTGAAGAATAGGCCACCACGAATGATGAAAATCGTAGGCTAAAAAGCTCTAAATAGTTTATTTTCAAAAAAAATTAGTTAACGGCTCAAACCAGGTTTTTCATGCAGGTGAAATAATTAGAAACTGAGGAAAAATAATTAAATCAGCTCAATTTTTCGGCAGACGAAATCTCGGAGGTTGAAAGGGGTGGAAAGTGGTGTTTTGCAAAAAAAATGAACAACTTTTGTATCTTCACTATTTTCACATAACCTCAAATTTTCCGAAAAAACTGTTTTTTTCGTTTTCTATTCTTATTTTTGCGAAAAATAATCGGGAGGTTTGAAATTTGCAGCAAACATAGCTTGTTTTATGATAAAAATGAGGCAAAAATGAGCCCCTAAATTTGAGCCGTTCCCGAGATTTCAGGATTTTCGAAAAAAAAACTCTCTTTTTCAAAGGGATGAAAAATCTATTTTTTTCATCGTACAGAGTTGCGCCAGGTAGTAAAATGTCTGTAAGGACTTATATTTTAATAATCAAAAATAATAAATATTTATTTATAGAAAAATTCCAAGAAAATCGCCAAAAACTGGGGAAACAGTTTCAAGATTATACATGGTTTTTATCGTGATAAATAGAGAAGAGAGAAGACAGACTTCGAAAAAATCTTTATTAGCGCGAATCCAACACTTTGATTTAGTTGTAAAAAAAAGCTATTTATGCTGTCAAAAACCGTATACAGGGTGGTGCACGGTAAGTAGAAACATAGGGATTTAACATGGGAAATTAGTTTTGTACAACATCCTGCCCTCCTGTAAATTTTACGGAAAAAACTGTAGTTCAACTGAGTTCAAAGTTGTTTAGAATTAAAAGGTGCATTCAAAACTGTTTTTACATGTTTTATTATGCTTTTGGTATCCCCGCAAATTTAAATATGTTTCAACATTTCCGTTATTAGTAGCAATAGCCATGATTTTGTTGTTGTTTTATGAATTGCTACTAATAACAGAAATGTTGAAATTTATTTTTAAATTTGCGGGTATACCAAAAGCTTAATAAAACATGTAAAAACAGTTTTGTATGCACCTTTTAATTCTGAACAATTTTAAACTCTATAGTTTTTTCTGTAAAATGTACAGGTGGGCTGGGTATTGCATAAAAGTAATTTTCCATATTAAATCCCTATGTTCCTACTTACCGTGCACCACCCGGTATGTCATAAAACTGTTTTTCCACATTCTGGCAATTTTCTCGAAATTTTCTGTTAGAATAATATGTTTTATTTTTGCTTTTTACGAAAATTTTGCTACCCCGCGCAGCTATGTACGACGAAAGAAAATCCATTTTTCATCCCCTTGAAAAAGAGGTGGTTTCTTCGAAAATCGTGAATATCTCTGAAACAGCTCAACTTTATGGGCCCAAAAAATTCCCTCCTTTTTATCACAAAATAAGCTATGCTTCCTCTACATTTCAGACCCTTACGATTTTTTTCCGGAAAAATAAAAGTAGAAAACGAAACAGTTTTTCTCATTTTTCTCGAAAAATTTGAGGTTATGGCGAAATAGTGCAGATACAAAAGTTGTATATGTTTTTATTCTCGATAACTTTTAAATTGAACATTTTCGCCTAAAATAATACTTTGGCACAAATTGCAAAATACCACTTTCCACCCCATTCAACTCCCGGGATTTCGCTCGCAAAAAAATTCAGCTGTTTTAATTATTTTTCCCCAATTTCCAATCATTTCACCTGCATGAAAAGCCCGGTTTTGTTAAAAAATATTATATAGCCTGGACAAATACAAACAAGTCGTCAACCTTGCGTTGGTTGCGCCTGCATATAGTAGCTGTAACGTAAGTTGATAGGAATGAGTATTTGCGATTGGTGGAAAAGAGACGCTAGTTGTCACTGTTGCGGTGGTTACGTTTTCAAGCTCGCATGGCAATGTACAAAAAGTAGAGAGAGAGAGATGAGCAGCGACGGATTTAGAGTACAGGTCTTTTGCACGAATTTTAATTGCGGAAGAAGCGAAGTTATTTAAACGAAGTAAAAGTTAGGGGAAACACAGTGGCAGATTATGTATAGTCGCAAACGCGCAGTGTAACCTCAAAGATGAGCGACGGGGAAGTGCATTTCTTTTAATTTACATTGGATAATTTGCAACCTCGTACTCATGACATTTCAATGTGAGCTGTTTCTACTAAACACGGAACATAGTGCAGATAAATTCATAAAACCAAAAACAGTTTAGAAAAATTCGGTAAGTTCAATATTTCGAATTTATAAAATTAGAAAGGTAAAATGAACAAATTACATAGATTCCTAAGGTCAAAAATCTAGGAGCTCGCAAAAATACAACTGATCAAAAAATAAAAAAATTTTTATCCTTAATGACGAAATCTCTGGGAAATTTGTGAGATATCCGTTATATGGTACAGAGAGTCTTTTCGCATATAAGTTGGTTAAACCTCTGTTCTTGAAACAAAATTTCTGTACATTTCTAAACTTATGATTCCCGGTCAACAGGGTTCAATTTTTTAACGACACTTTGAATCGGTCGCTGTTAATAAAAGGGAAAAACTATCGGGTCACCCCAACGATTAACACGCAAGAATCTCTCTTACTGGTCGCCTTGAACCTCAAAACGCGAATTTCTCTTGTCTAAATTTTCAACCAATCCCGAAAGGCTGTTGATTATCTCAAAAAAACAAAACGGCCAGCATTTTCCACGATAGCTTTAGCTCAGTTTATTCATAAATATAAAGTTATATCCCTGTTAAAACGGATGTAATCCTATCCCTACGGTCGCTATGTAAACGTCATTACCCTATTAAAGAATAGAAGCTCATTGAAAATCACTGCGTAAGAATGACATGTTTCATTGATTCCAATCATCCAAATAAATTCTTAATATTATCCTGACAAAAATTTGTTTAGGAAAAAACACTTCAGAACCTTGAGGACGTTTCTGTACCTGCGTATTAGATCCTGCTAAATTTGCTAGTGTATATCTTAAAACGAGCATTGTAATATAATAAAAGACGAAGTTGGGGTTGGAAAATCGCAAAACTATAGTTAAATTCTAATTACTAACGCTATTTTTCTTTTCAGGTATGCGAATTTTGGTAATGTTGCTGCTCGACACATTGCCAATGTTGGGAAATGTGTTGCTGCTGTGTTTTTTCGTATTCTTCATTTTCGGTATCATCGGCGTCCAGCTCTGGCACGGAATACTCCGACAAAGGTGCTACGTACCGATGGGAAGCAATCTGTCGTGGCCCAAGTAAGATTAAAACAATTTTTCATTCCGCTTTTTATACTAACCCGATTTCGTATCAATATTTAAATGACGCAAATTTAATCACATTTATGCCGAAAGTTATTTTTGCTCATGGAGTAACTTATAGCTTATTGTGCGTTGTTTTCATCCTTTAAAGAAGAGTTTTTTTATTGTTAGCATGTTATTTTGAAAATTTCGTATTTACGCAGTTTAATTATAACCTGATGTAGTTTTAGCACTGTCTAATCATGTACCCTTTAATAATGTTTCTTTCCCAAATATTTGACAAAAAGTCACGAATCGAGCGATTAAGGGGCTCGATTTCAGGGGACTTGTCAAGAATTTTCAGGGAAAATTAGTAACCACTACACACTGCATGACCTTTCGATCATGCGACCCTTGTTTGAATGGAGCGGCTTCGCTTTTTGTTACAGAGGGCTATCAGAGGAGTACATTGTGCAAGTGCCTGTGACGTAAGATTTTGTGCCCGAAGATGCCTGCTTTTTGTGTCGTCTTCAGTTTTCACGTACCTATCGAGTTGTATCCACGCATTGAATTGCGCGAACACAACTAATTGTCGCATGTCCGGTTTAGGGGTATAATTTAACCCCCACTATTTTATCCGAAGTAGAATGAACATTTAGAGGCATGAATAGAAATCGATCAATGCTATCATCTACCTTCCTTCCATTACTCCGCTTGCATCAAATACCGAACGTACCTTCTACTTGTTGCTATTGTTTCATGCTAGCCTTGCTAAATTCGCCGGGAAGCTACCTAACAGATGCCTCAACTCGTTAAAATAGAAACGTTCAGTGTTTGACCAATATTTTTTCCTAAATGGACAGATGTGCTCTATTACTACTTTTATCTCGTCTATTTATTGTTGTTTGCGCGAAGCTGCATTAAATAAAAAAAAAAGGGAGCGTTAAAGTTGTGGCTTACGTATTCGGGATATAATCCCTCCCCACGGCGATAATAGGTGGAAGAGTTTTCACGTTTGTGGATAACAATAAATGTACCTACCCCACGGGAAAACTCCATAAGCAAGATAAATGAAATGGGTGATCGAACCGGGAGATCGTAAGTATCTTTCGGTTTTCCCTTTATTTGTTTCACCGTGAAAATTTTATGAATTTTTTACGGCGAATGTGTCCGAAAGTACCAGTCTAGTTGGCAATTTAAAGAGTAATGTAAAATACAGTCCAGCTAGACGTTTTCGGCATTTTCCTTGAGCACATATCAACTAGGATGAGACAAAGTATCAAGGTTACCTATTGATTTTTTTTGTGGAATTATATACACACTTTTAGTACTTTCTTAAGGATACCTAATAAAATGCTCTAATTGTTTTTACTTCGAATTTTATCTAGTTAGCAATGATTGCTGATGGCAACAAGCGTATCTTTTATTATTAACGAGCGACAAAAAGCGAGTTCATGATTTTGGACTTTATGTCTGTCCGTCTGTGTACATGATAGATAATTCGCGAACGGTTTCGAATTTTCCAATTCTGTTTTCAGAAACAGGTCAGATAATGGTCAAAGGACTACTGATTAAATTTTGGTCAATACTCTTTAACCGAGAGTGACCTTGCCGTTGTCTATATTGGTGCAGTTTATTTCATACGTACTAGATTTCAGTAACTTGCGCATATCTAAGATATCTAATATCTAGACGCTTGAACCGATGTAAGTTAATTATTTATTCGTATTAATTGGTTTCTACCAGAGCTGGGCAGTATTTCGATTTTGTAAATACTTTTTAGTATTCAAATACTTTGTAATTAAATACTTTTATGGAAGCAGTATTTGTATTTGTAACTCAAATACTTTCACAAATATTTAGTACTCGAATACTTCGCAAAGTATTTGGATACTTCGTAAAGTATTCGAATACTTCGCAAGGTATTTGAATACTTTGAGAAGTATTTTTCTTATTAATTTTGGTGCGTAGAATCCAATCAAAAGTTATCGACTAGAAACCAATTTCGAAAGAAAATTCAAAGGGCTGTAACTTTCGAACTAGTAGCCCAATCGTGGAACTGTTTAAAATTATGGATTCTACAGGCCACATTCTATAAGAAAATTTTTTTCCGGGTCGATCTGAAACAATTTTTTTTGGGCCTCAAAAAAAGGCAGTGTATAACCTTCCTTTTTTACCAAAAATCGACTACACCAAAATCTCTTGGGAAAACACTTTTTCTTATTAATTTTGGTGCGTAGAATCCAAAACAATTTGTACTTTTTCGATCAGACTTCTCAATCAAAAGTTATAGACTAGAAACCAATTACGAAAGAAAATTCAAAGGGCTGTAACTTTTGAACTAGTAGCCCAATCTTGGAACTGTTTGAAATTATGGATTCTACAGGCCACATTCTATAAGAAAATTTTTTTCCGGGTCGATCTGAGACAATTTTTTTTTCGGGGCTCAAAAAAAGGCAGTGTATAACCTTCCTTTTTTACCAAAAATCGACTGCACCAAAATTTCTCGGGAAAACACTTTTTCTTATTAATTTTGGTGCGTAGAATCCAAAACAATTCGTACTTTTTCGATCAGACTTCTCAATCAAAAGTTATAGACTAGAAACCAATTTCGAAAGAAAATTCAAAGTGCTGTAACTTTTGAACTAGTAGCCCAATCTTGGAACTGTTTAAAATTATGGATTCTACAGGCCACATTCTATGACATTTTTTTCCGGGTCGATTTGAGACAATTTTTTTTTTCGGGCTTCAAAAAAAGGCAGTGTATAACCTTCCCTTTTTACCAAAAATCGGCTACACCAAAATTTCTCGGGAAAACACTTTTTCTTATTAATTTTGGTGCGTAGAATCCAAAACAATTTGTACTTTTTCGATCAGACTTCTCAATCAAAAGTTATCGACTAGAAACCAATTTCGAAAGAAAATTCAAAGGGCTGTAACTTTTGAACAAGTAGCCCAATCTTGAAACTGTTTGAAATTATGGATTCTACAGGCCACATTCTATAAGAAAATTTTTTTCCGGGTCGATCTGAGACAATTTTTTTTTCGGAGCTCAAAAAAAGGCAGTGTATAAACCTTCCTTTTTTACCAAAAATCGACTACACCAAAATTTCTCGGGAAAACACTTTTTCTTATTAATTTTGGTGCGTAGAATCCAAAACAATTCGTCCTTTTTGGATCAGACTTCTCCATCAAAAGTTATAGACTAGAATCCAATTTCGAAAGAAAATTCAAAGGGCTGTAACTTTGAATTGAATTGTAGTGTATACTCAGCACAAATTACGTGCATAAATTGTGACCAATAGTGTGCCAGTCACAAGAGATTTAAGAGGATATTTATATTTATCCATTCCAGTGTGGGAGTCTGGAATAAACTGCTATCGTGCGTATTTCAGTTAGTAAAGAACGCAGTCCGTCAATAACGCGTGCATCAGCAAATTCCTTAACAACTTCACCGCGTATTGGCGCAGTGTAATAATAAAGTAAAAGAGAGGTGTGTAAAACGAAATTACAACAAAGAAGACTGTTAGTAAATCACATAATATTTTGGTTCATCATTCCTGCCGCTAAGAACAAGGCAGTCAGTGTAAAAGTTTACTAAAGAGATATCTTAAACGTCAAATCAAGTTTTAATAACAATCCAAATAAGTTGAGAATATACGCCAATACCCTTTGAAGAACAGAATTGTACTGACCAACAGAAGCATCAGAATCCGGAGACTGTATTTCCCAATCAATTGTCAAAACATCCAATCCAAAAAGCCATTGTTTAGAAATTATTTTAAGTCGGCGGATTTTAAGCATGCAAACACGGTGATTCAACTAAATTAGCCGTAAGAATTACAGATCTTCCACGTTGAACAAAAAATTAGGTTAGTCACAATTAGTAAAACTTCTATCTCCAGAGATCTATCTGATTTTCTTCTTGACTGATATATCTATGATCGTCGATCTCTCTCCCTCTTTGTAATTTTACAAGACAATTTACATTTTGGACTTTAGATCTGAATTTGTATATGGTTGATTGTTGCTGTAATTCAGCTCACTAGTAGGTATGTAATTAGAGAAGTATTTTGAAAGTTATACACAAGGTACTCAGCTAATATACAGTTCCATTCAAAAGGTGATTTAGAACCATTAATATCCTAAACCTTTCTGTCAGTGGACTATTAGTTGTGTAATACGAAATGTCTGTGATTAATCACCTATTCCTCCATTATTCATCACACACAGCATTTCAAGAAATACAAACCTCGCGCTCTATTACAATGTCGCTGTTTCGGAAACGCCCTGGGGCAAGGAAAATTTAATTCGGATCGCGTCAAAAGTTTGCTATCGGACTTGTAATTAAAATCAATATTTGTACGGGTTTAGATAGTCGCGCTCAATTCCCTGTCTGGATGGAAAAGAGAATAAATTTAATTAGGTATATTTTCCCACGTCCGCGAGGGCTTTCGTTCGATCATAAACGGCGATTAATTTGCCAGTGAAAATTGCCTGGCTAATCAAGTTTGAGAATTTTTAAAGGCTCCAATTTTCCAAATCGTTGGTCACGTAATTTCTTTTAAACCACTGCAAGCATAAATTTTTTAATTTGCCTTTGCTCGTCTTCGCTGCAAAGTGCCCGTAACTGATATTTCCGTTCTTCGAATTTTAGAGATTTACAGTCTTAATTCTGTTGACGCCACACTAGAATACATGCAATACCACAATATCGACACCTATACAATGAAACCTGCTCGATAATTAATCGGCATAAGTGAAAGTCTAAGAACTTTTCGTGTTTGTAGCAGATTATTTTTGCGTAATTTCATGTCACGTTTATTTTTATTTACTACTCTTGTTACAAAAGAATTCCTTCCCCCCCAATGTTTCCAAATATTATGTGCAACCTAATAACAAGGAGCAGAAGGTGAAACGTTGTCATTTTGCACGCGACATACGATCCACCCTATGTACCTTGACACCTTAGTGCTAACACTTGGTGAACGATTTAATCCACACGGAGACAGATTCCACGACATCACGCCTATCTGCACCGGTCTATTGGGATAATCAGGATATACCAGAGGACCGCCGCTGTCTCCTTTACACGAAGTTTCATTTCCAGCATCGTATCCAATGGTACAAATGCTTCGGATATCAACCGCTACCCCATACTGGTTAACAATTGAATTGCACTCTGGAAATGACTTGTCTATTGAACACTTCGGGGACTGTTAGTTGTGTTACCGTTCTCTCTAATTGTTCCTCCACGAGCGTACTGTAAGTGGACACTCGGCGCCGGATAACTAGACCTGAGGTACCCCCAACCTGCAATTACAGCCAATCCCTCGTACTCGCGATTTTCATAAGGGAGAGCAATCCAGTTCACATCATTTGACCAATTGAAAGGCGTCTTTACGCGAATTAAACCGATGTCGTTCGGGGAAATACCCCTAAAATGTGATTTGTAGATTAATCGACAAAAACATCTGAACATACCCGTTATAGTTGGGGTGCTTGTACTGTCTTAAAATTTGACGCGTTTGCCTATACGGTGGACTATCGTATAGTTTGAGTATACCGGCAACGATTTGAAGATCTTCCCTTGGAAGATTTAGTGCTTGATCGACGCAGTGCGCCGCCGTTAGCAACCATTCGGCGTTTAATATGCTGCAACCACAGAAATGCTCTCCTCGGTATTGATACGATGCCAAATAAGGAAATTGGCCTCTAGAAGCTGTGTATCCGTTGGAAATCTTGGGCTCAGTCGAATTTGAGGCGTTAACTAGAAACGGTGTTAGGTACCTAGTAACCGGTGGCATTAAGATAACTTACCCAATGCTAAGATGATGGAGAAAACTAGCGCTTGCAGGCACTCCATCTTAAAAAGTGATTAAAAACCAAAAATGGATCAATATCGACCTTAGTTACTACATCTAATCAGACACTTACTGTGATTTCGCTTTATCATTTCGGATAACGATTCGTATTGATGTATCATTGTGGATGTGTGACACCATCCAGTTTTTCTATTACCTTACGCGTCTAGGTCTGTACAATGCAGTCATGTCGGACTACTCATCGGGTTGATTGATTATTATAACTTCTGTAAAATTTAAATTCACTTGAGGCACCTCGAATAGGCCGTGTTAATTAATTGAAAAAGTGTGCTCCCTCAAATTCAATCATTGGTTTGAATTGCGTTCTTACAACCGCAGTGACGTACGTCTCATGGGCAAAAGTAGTGCATTTGAGCAAATCTAGAGCGCTTTTTTGAAACATTTCAAATTCATCTTATCAAACAAAAAGTAAAATAAACACGCCATCAAACCACAATAATATTGCGGATGTTGTATTTGGTATCAGTACCTAGTTAAATGGTTAAATGTGGTCGCTAATTTAGTTTTAACACAATTTCGATCATGTCCTTTGAATTCCAGGGCAATGCTGTTCTTGTGTTAGAATTATGTTTAAATGATGGCCTTATATTTTGTTTATTTGATTACGTGTTGAAAGATAAGGGACATCTGGAAATAATTGCGTTGTGTTATTGCAAAAGTTGATCTCCGGCTTTGCGATAAGAAGTTCGTTATCGTTGCGTATAAGCTAATTAATTTTGAAGATTCGCCGAAAGTAAAGACATGCAATAATTGATAGAAGTAGAGGCGCCGGCGGAGTTTCTTTCGATGTGGACGTTGACAAAATAATACAGATGGATTCAAAGAATTCAAAAAAGAGAATGCGACGAACTTGGGCTGCTCGCGCATAGCTGGTGAGCCGGAGGAATTAAAGACCAATTAGTGAAATTATTATTTTAATTAAGTATATTAATACACAAAGTATGGTAATTTATTAAGCGGTAGTCGGCGGTACAGGGGACGGACGGACGGACGGAAATCAATACAATCAATACGAAATCGAAACCAATCAATTCGATTTTTAATTAATTACTCGGCTCCTGTTCGTGCTAAAATTCCCAAACAACTGGCAATCGATTCGTTAATTAAGCGCGAACAATTTGACACCTCAAAAGGCCAAATGGAAGCTCATGAACATTACATTAATTAACTTTATGTTAATTACACGTTTTCGGCTACAAAGGCGGCTGGAGGTTATCTCATTCTTGCAGGCACGCCGCCAACTGACAAAACAACTCGCTTCGGAACTTATTCTATCCTTGCTTTAACTGATTATGGGGAACTAAAACGGCCTATAATCAATTAACGGCGCTTGAACCAAAAAATATTAATTGTCCTTCATCTTCTCCAAAACAAGGCCCTTCGGTGGTTACAAAAATAATTCCAAAATTCCAGCAGGAATGGTCGTAGGCGGACTAATTAATTACGGTACCTCCTTGTCTCCATGGCATCGCGGAAGGTTACGGTTTTTCATGTAGGCAAGCCCAAACCAATCGTTACTAAACAGGGTGGTTCTCGTAAACGGCAAACTCCACTCAGAAATTCCGGGTGCTTCGTTAAATAGAGGAAGCAGACGGGAAACGGGCTTTTTTTTGGTGGGCGCTTTTGGGTGTATGGCAGCCAACCGTTTTTTTTTTGTTGGAAAGACATTCAGCCAGGATTTTGTTAGGTGTTTTCCGTGACATATTTCAGTATTTTGTATTTTTGTGTGGATTATACTAGGCAATATGGACGCCCTCAATTTAAAGAGACTGACGATGGAATGAAAATTACTTTTCCAAATGTCGAAAACAATGCGAACACGGTCTGCAGGAATTAAACGCTTAGCGCAACAAAAGTGCTTATGCAGACAATAAAAAGTAGAACTATCAGAATCTCCAGTAACAGTAAGGCTGCCCCGCAGACATTTGGTCACTGCCAAATTACCTCTAGATTGGTTTCCGAGTGTCACCATGCACTAGAGCAAATAGCAACAAGCAATACCTTCCAGATCGTATGAGTTAAAGGGCATGCTGGAACAAAAGGCAATGAAAAAGCCTCAAAACGGACGTTTTATGACCCCGAGCCGGCCCTTCCACTTCCAGCTACAACTATAAATAACTTAATATCTCAGACACCCAAGCCCAACACAGGTCCAGGTGGATGTTAGATTGTCGCCAAACGATAGAGACTTATATCCCTGTTGACCACTTAACCTACTTTAATTTATTTATTTATTTATTTGAGTAATATAGCGATTAATTCTACTCAAAAAATTATTAAACGTCCATTATGACGCATAAAACTATGCGCGATCTAATTTGTCACCAATAATTTTCCTAAAAACGCAAGTAATCAAAATTAGTACTTTTTCACTGTATCATCGTTGGAATACGGGATTCTGGAACGCACACCAAAGACTTCGCTGTTGTAATGAATTCCAACGTCAACCAAGACAAAACGCAGGCAAATAGAAAACAATGCAGGCTAATGCAAACAAAGCCAGCTTCTTAATGATTAACGAATGAAAAAACCTTGATAGCAAAACCCAATTAATACGCTCTTTATTTCTTTATGGGTTCTGCAATATTTTAAGATTTTGTATAAAACGACAATTGGTGGGTCGCTAGGGTTGTTTCGGGTTCCACATCAGAGGTTCCCTACATGCGATAAGAGTGTATAATTGCATGAGCCCGCTGTGAATAGACTTGCTTCCTTGGAAAGTAAATGGTAGATAGAGTTAACGGTAAGGGTGAAACCCACCTTCAATCTTTTTTAATAAAAAACCACAAAGTTATTAGGGAGTGCTTACCCGACTTATGGACAGCTCCTCAATGATTAGAGACTTCCTATAATGGATTTTTGTGAGTAACCTTGTAATAAAAAATTTTGCTGTTTGCTAGCACGAATACCACCCGCACGATGCAATAGTTTAGCCATAATATAAAAAACGACAAGAATTGATAGTTGTTTGTTAGTTTGACACACTTGCGCATGTGCGATTCAGCCCAGATCTTCCTTAATACATATGTGTACCAAACTTGGTTCTAATCATTTCAACCGTTTAGCCTGAAATGAGACCACCAACAGACAGACCGACATATCGAACGACCGACATCGTTCAAGACTCGGATTCCTTGTGCTTCAAAACGTGTATTTCCGTAAAAGAAAGGGTCATTTTTAGCCCTATGCGGGTAGTAAAGATAAAGGGCTGTTTAGTACCAAATGACACATTTGACAGTTCTGATTTTCGTAGTTTGGCATTGCTCCTCAAGAGTTTTCAGTTCTCTGAGCACGTTTTCGTTGGGATCATATTATATTAAGCAAGCCTTTGAAAGTGATCATTACAAAACATTTTATTGTGAAGAGTAAGATATCTGCTAGAGAGATAGAATTTAAGTTCCGTAGAAAGGGTAGGATGGCCCCTCAAAGACACTAAAACTTGTTATAACATCATTTTTGCAATTACTATTAAAATAGGAAAATTTTTATGATATTCATAACCTTTTCTTAACCATATCCGTAAGACAAATATATTTAAGAACATTTTTCGGTGGCGTTATTGAATTCTGGATAGAGTTCAGAATCGCCCTATACAATTTACGTAACGATTCATTATAAGATTGCCCTTAATAGTATATTAAGTATGGAGAACGGTAAGGGATTTTTACCGTTCGAAGACAATTGTTTGGAGGAGGAGCGAAGCGACGACTCCAATTATTGTCTGAGAACGGTAACCCTTAACGTTCGACGTGCTTATAACATTTTTTGCGCGATCGAAATTAAAATTATGCAACCAATTATAAATATGCACTAAGAAATTAACGAGCAGAATAAATTGAAATGATCGAAGTGGTATGGTGTACATCACTAGGTAACCAGTTTATTTGTCAAAATTGAAGTTAATAATTTCATAAAAATGTGCATGTGTCTGATGTAGTTTACTAGCTTTGCACTTCCTTTATGACTTTATGAGCGTCTTGCTATAGGAAACAACAGCACTAATTGTACGTTTAATGTACCTAACAATAATTAAAGATTAAATGTAATGTAAGACTGTTGATTTTTAAAAAGGCGTCGGTAAGTATTTTTGCTGTTCTGTTTTTAGATCGGTAAGTAATTTTGACGTCGTCGTAATCATAGCAACTGGTAAATTCTACGTACTGTCATGGAAACACCCATGGTAAATAGTCAGAAATGACCGATCGCGCAAAAATAGTACATTATATATCAAGGTAGAGAAGTACAGTATTATTGCCTGAGCACCAAGATTACATCTCGAGGCGCTTGCGCCGAGGGGTGTAAGGTGCGAAGGCAATAATAGACTTCTCTACCGTGGTATATATACTATTTTTTTCACTACTAGCACTTGAAATCCTCTAAATTAACATATTATATTGATAAGAGAGTTAACGGTTGGACAGAATTGTTTGTTTCTTAATTTAACATGTCAATCAAGTACGTGGAAGTACAAGTCAAACAGGCCGTATTTTGTTCTGTCATTGAAATTTTTCAAAGACCTAATTTCGTTCGAATTTTTTCAAAATGTGATAATTTTAGGTATGTAATTTCTCTAGAAATTGCGAATGGTGGCAATTATTCGTTTTAGAGAACTTGTCTAAACGTTCATTGAGCGAAATTTCGGGTTGTGTTTTCTAAAAGTGACAGCGTGACAGTTCTCATTATTGACTACTAGTTAATAATAAAAAATTATTAACCACTTTGAACAAATGCCGAGAAAGCCTACTTTACAAGTGGAAAAAAGGTTAATAATCATGTCATCAGACGCTAGTAGTGAAAAAATTATATTATTTATTTATTAAAGGTGATGATGATCCAAGCAGGTCAAGGACCTATTTACATGAATGATACAATGCGATTTTCATAGACATATACCACTATTATACCAGACTATAGTCAATATTGGAAAAAGTTGATTTTCATTAGGATTACTGATCTTTTCACTTCTGTTTTTGGTACAATGCTAAAGTTGACCCCCTCTTTCTAAGATTTTTCCAGAACTTTGTAACGGCTTAGTTACCTTTACAGGGGTTAGAAATCTCACTTTTAGAAAACGACTCTTAATCTCTACGGCAATGGTAAAAATTTTAGTGTCAGAATTAATTTTGTGTAATGAAATATTAGTACCGCGGCTAGTTCAGTAACTTTCAATGAAACAGGGCTTTAGGTTTCTCGAAATTTAGGGAAATGTCAAAATTACCCTTATAATTTAGAGCCAGTAAAAGCACGAATTAATCGTCTTTAACACTTTTTACCAGTTACCGTGTTATTCAGAATCTATTATCACCCCGTATACACAAGAGAGGTGCGCAAATTTGATTAATAAACTTGTTTTTTATTGTAATTAGCTTTTCTAAACATAGCGCAATGTAACGTGCTGTACTTTAACCACAACGCTTTCGTGGTAACAATTTATTTAAACGCGATCACGTTGCTCCAATAATGCAACGAAACTTGTTGGCATACATATTTGCACTATATTTGCAGTTTAAAATAAATTAGCCGGCCGGTCGTTTCTTTTACCTGAAACCGTCAAGAAAATCTAAATTTCAGGGCTATTTTGACATTAGAAAGTTGATCTTTACCTGACTAGTACTGTAATATTTTTGCCTGACGCCCATTACAGTCCTAGTACATGCAAAATATCAATTAGATCATTCATTGAATAAGTTATTCAATCAACGATTGGATAATTATAATGCAGACTATGTGGATATTTTTAAATAGGTATTAATATACCGGTGCCGGTTTAGTATGCGGTCTACCAATCCAAATTGAATTTAGTATGCGGTCTACCATCTTGCTGACAGTCTACCTCAACTAATTGAATGTAGTGTGCGATCTAGTATGTTCCTAGACTATATTTAATTTTCTTTTAGGAAAATGCACTGAAAAATTTATTAGCCGCTCCCCAGCACTTGTAATTATACAACTAGAAAATTTATATCATTATGTAATTATCAATAAAAATCGTTTGTCGTTATATTTTACATATTACCATTAGTTGGAGCTATATTTAAGTTTTTTTAATTCTAGCAATTGTGTATTAATAATGAGTTGCTGTTCCATTAAAACAGTTTGTTGCCGTAAGTGCTCAATTTTTGCGTCGTAATAGTCTTTTTTTATTTTTAATTTTTTATTCAAATATTCTGCATATTCCGCCCTCGATTCTTCTGCCGTTCGCTTCTTCCCTTTTTTAACAATTTCTGAAGCTGCTGAACTGGTTAGATTCTTGGATGTCGTGGGTTGCGTAGGTGGGATTTTGGTTACCTCGTCAATGTTGATAACCTCGGTGTCGACTTCGTCAACAGGGTTCAATATTATGGGATGAACAATTGCACCACTGGAATTGGAGATCATGGATGTGGCTAAAAGGACAAGGAAAAATTGTAACGTGAAAGTTGTTACAAAATCGTAGCCTATATACTTGTATCATTCGCATGGAAATTGCAGACACTTTCTTTAATTAATGAATCTCCTTCTACCACTACCGGCTTGATAAAAGTGTCCACAATATCCTGCTCGAATGTGGTCAATTTTTCATCACTGGGGGGACCGCCACCTGTTTGGTTTGTTGACCGGTTGATTCTGGCAGCTTTCGCCTTTACGCGAGAATATAAATCTTGCCAAGTCTAAAATTGCAACAATATATATAGCTTTAATAAGGTATTGAGTTGCATATTAATGAAAACATTACTTTTCGCCAATTTTTCCAATCTTTGTAAGGCCTTCCAGTGCTATTCAAAGATGCTGCAACCGTCTTCCACTTCTCGTGTATATTTTTGTTGGTAAAATTAGGTGACGTTTTCCCTGCCACGACGTTTTTATTTTTTTTTAAAAACTGAACAAGTATCAGCTTTTGCTCTTCTGAAGCGCGAGACATATTTTAATTTTAAATTTGAATAAATCGCAAAAATTACAAACGCAAGCGCAATGAATCACAATTTGACAGATTCAAACAAGTGACATGAGAAAAAAGTGAGAATACAGTGGTGCCAAGTTGACAAACTCGAGCGGTTTTCAATTAGTGTCAAGAATACGGAATTTGGTGAGTGAGTGAGTCACCGATGACAAAGTTACCCACTCACCGATTTTTATCGAGCGGTTCAAGAATAGGAGTCTTAAAGGTGTTACAGGTAAATAAAAGTACTCATCAGAATTACGAAAATTGTATTCAATATCAACAATTACATCCTATACACATTATATTCATTGTCAACTTTTATTATTACATATACTTATTCATTCGCGATAAACTTGCCTAATGTCGTCTAAAAATTTTATAAACAGATCATCTACGTTTTTATTGAAAATCCGCCAACAAACTTAATCCAAGTGGGACTGGAAATGTTGGATGGGCACTCCTCTCATCTTTTTCATTATTTTTATTTTGGCGTCTAGCCAACTCCGCTCAATTCCCTGTGTATGAGCTCCAGTCTCTGGATTAACGTAGTTCTCTTGATGATTTACCTGCGATATGCAGGCCATTCGTCAGAGTGGATAACCGATCCCATTTCAACTTCTCTTTGAATTATTGGGAGCAATGTTTCTGCATCTCGTCTTGCCACATAAAAATGAGTTTCGTTAATATTTCTCAAACCAAACACCCACGGCCCATCGATACGTCGTCCATGGTTACGATTATTGTGGATGTCATCATCAGACTCTTCTGATTCTGCAGGTGCATCGCCCTGCAACATTCTTCCTCTACCGTATTTTCTGCCACCGGCAAAACGGGCTTCATCTATTTGCACCGGGTCTTCATGTGTTCCAGTTAATCGACCATTTCTAGTGTCTGATACCATCGAACTGCATACCTCTCTACACATGTTGAACCAATCGATCACGGTAGCGTTGGAACGACCGGTAAGACTAACGACGGAATCGATTGGAATGTCCAATAAGAAAAGAAAGATCAATTCTAATATTTGGACCAGCAACAACTTGCTGTTAATCCTCCCATTTAAATCGTTGTAATGGAAAAATGTATTTCCATTCCGCACCGACCGTGTGGTTTGACAGCCTTTCCTTGGACAGCGCAATATTGGCCTGAATTCTCCTCCACGATCTCTTCTTCGATTTTCTTGCAACGCCGAGCCACATCGATGACAATTTGCAGCATCTTCTACAACGTCCAACAGATTATGTTGTCTCAAAAAATTAGTTGCCGTCTCTTCCGAAGACCTCACGTTCAAATAAAATTCGCGAAGTAACATGTTGAGTGCCAGCAATACGAGCAGCAACGGATAGTTATGAACTAAAATATGGGGAGATTTTGACCAGCTTATATACATGGGGCTACTTAATACTTATCCATTAAGTAATTGTAATTAGCAATAATGGGCCATTAATGGGATAGCAGCCCGCAATTGCAAAAATGCAATTATGGGTGATTGTCTAATGATCATCATGGATCACTAAAATGAAAGTGGTTGAAATGTGCTTTATTTTTTTGAAATACCTGACGAATATTCCAATGTAAAAGGGTAGACCGCATACTACATTCAGATTGATAGGGTGTAGACCGCTATCTCTAAGGTAGACCGCATACTAAACCGGCACCAATATACCTACACAAAGGATAATGGTTTTTTATTACGAACAATTAATGGAATATGTGTGGAAGTAATATTCCTTTAGTTTTGCGCCAGTCATTAAAAGGTTTCTACGCCTTTTCGTACCTTTTTTTTGACTTTGTGGGGAGCGAATATTTCACTACAGCGGCCGCAGCTTCGGCTACATTATAACAACGTCTTGCATAGGTACTCTTCTTCACTGATACCTGCTTTTGTACCTAGTTATAAAGACTGTATAGTTGAAAAGTACAAAGTATAAACTGAAAACTGCGTTAAAATGACACTGACTGTTTTAATTATTTTGAAATCTCTATGGAAACAATTAAATAAAGTGATTTTAGCATGCGTGATTAGGTATCAAAATTTCAAACATGAATAATTTAATTTGGAAAAGTTTTCTACATGTTGCGGTTTCAGGTAAAATTTTATACATAATATGTCATGAAAGTGAGTCTACCTGACTTGGAGGCATTAAAGAGATACTCGGACGCTACGCGTCCTCGTACTTTTCAATAAGCCTCCGCGTCATGTAAACGACCACTTTCATGACTTATTATGTAAATAACTATTACACGACAAAGTCCCCGTTTTGCATCAATACGCCACTCATTATTAGTTTTGTTCGTGATGACAATGAATTTAAAGTTACCAAAGAGTATACAACGAAACTCTTTGAAGTTACATAACAGTAACTTCGTTAAGATGGCGGTACAGTTTTATTTTGTTTATGCGGCAATTAACTTCAACTTTCGCGATAAAAATATCACGTTCGATAAACAGCGGTTTGAATCTTCCTTATACGAATACCTTTAATTATTCGAATTAACATTTTACGCGATCGAAAAATACCGCGCTCGATTTACATAGATTCGCCTTGTACGTTCAGCGAAAAATGCTTGTACTCCGCGATCGAAAATTACATAGCTTCGCCTTGTAAGCTTGGAGAAGAATGCCTCTTTCCCACTCCATTTTCTCTAATGTACACGCCGAGTTAAAAACTCGAAACGGGCCCAACGGAAACCAAGCGTTGGCTATATTTTTATACATGTAAAGAATTAGCAACCCTCACGCTATGGAAGTGCGTTTTTTAGAACCGGCGTATTGACTCTTACTCGTTGTACACTCGCTTCTTATCGTAGCGCGATTCATTTTCTCGCATATTAGTTTCGTACTTTTTCATTATGAAGCGGTACACTGTACTGACATCACAATGTCAAACAAATTTTAACACAAACCGCTTTTCTTTTATTTTCTTTTTTTTAGTACACACACACAAAAATCTCATCTAACATTTAACTTTGGAAGGGCCGGTTCTTTATAATAATAATTTTCTATAATTTAATATAATTCTATAAGTTATAATTTATCTATAATATAATTTCTATAATTTAATATTCTGAGCAGAACAAAGTACGCTAATTTTTCTACAAGCCAACAATATTTTGTTTTTTTACTGTGTTGGTATCCCTCTTTACTTTTATTATTTATGAAAAAATTAAGAAACGTAATAATTTGTTACCAAAGTACACTCCAGCGCAAAGTACAATTGGTGTGATAAATGAGTGTAAATGGTTGTTTGAATGACACATTTTTTACCTACAATTTTTAGCGTATCTCCACAAAAATAAAAATAAAAATGCGCTAGTGTGGCCACTTTGTCCGTCCGTCTGGACGCTACTAACTAGTTCTTTATCTTACGAGCAATTGATCTACTTTTTTCGCTGTTTGGTTCGTTATGATGTTGAGGCTTGCACCAAGGAAGGCATTTTTTCTGCGTTTATTACTAAAAAACTTATTGTAAAAAAAACAAAAATCCATAATTTTACACTTTTGCCGTTTATTGACGATCCCCGAGATCTAATTTTGTATTGTCGGTGTGTCTGTCGTCTGTCTGTCCATCTGTCTGCCCGCCCGTCTGTCCGTGTGCACGATAACTTTGGGCAAAAACGTCGGATTGCTTTGAAAATTGGTACGCATGTTCTCAAGGATATGAGAAAGGTCGCTATTGTTTTTCAGCTACGTAGACTCAACTCAACTCAAAACTGGCCAACCTCCAAAAATTGGGGTTGTATCATTTTTGTTGCAAAGAACCATGAATGTCCGGGTTTTGTGTGTTAGTACATATTCCTTAAACCTCAAGCAACTATGTAGACGAATTAAAAAAAATTGCGCATGCGCAACCCAGCTTTGGCATTTGCACAATCAAAATTTTTTTAATTTGTTAAGAGACTTGTATATACGCACCTAGAATAAAAGTAAAACTAATACTAAATTTTAAAAAATTGTTTTACAAGTCATGCTGATCTGAGGGGACAGAATCAACCCCTTAATAAGGTGTGTTGTAAAATTAATGGATGCACGAAGATCTCGAGGGTCGTTCAGTATTCAGTTGTATCAGATTTTTGTGCTTTTGAATTCTATACGCTAAGATGATTCTTATAAAATGAAGTTGAAGTGACATGTCAAAGAATAGGTTGTACATGCGCAGTGCTACTTCCTTGTGGACGGATTTTTTGGTTAAATTGCTGAAATCGAATTTGGCTGAAGTAACTAATTTTTTCGAAATGCGCTTTTTGTAAAACGTTTACGATCACTTTTTGAACTAGCTATTTTTTATGTTTACTAGTGGCTCTGTCCCGGTTTAGTGCCACAAAATTATGGTAAGCCTTCTGACACGACACCTTTGTTCAGAAATTTAATATTAAGTGTTCGAAACCAGAAAGTAGGTATTCATAATTATTCGAGTAATTATTTATATAGAAATTGAATTACATAGTAGTTAAATAATAACTGAAATACTTGAAGAAGTAAGTAAATAGAAGTATTTGAAATACTTTTCAATTACATTATTATTGAGTACTTAAAAGTTATTTGAAATAGTATTTGAAAGGAATTACTACTTGGAAGTAGTGATTACTTATTTTCACTTATAATTGCACAAGAGGTTTGGATTTTACCAAGTAAATTTGGGTTGTTAAGATAATGAAAATCTGTTGCCTAGCAATTAGACGAGAAAAACTGTCAACTAATAAAAATGCGACACTTAAAATTGAACGGAAATTAAAATACCCGGCCCCAAAGGAGCCTCGTGCTTTCATATTTTCTCGCTAGTAATATGTCATTTTCCTGACTTTTATGTCATAGTAATGTAACTTTACTGACGAGTTTTGTATTAAATTTTACCCGAAATCGTATTTTAATATAAAATTTCAATTTTCTTATAGAACATTTGATTAATGTCAATCTGTCAGTTATGACAGGAGTCATTACAAACATTTAGCATTGTGACAGGTGCGTTCGGTAAAGTGACAGGGGGCAGGAAAAGCAATCTTGTCTACCTCTGCCATGGCAAACTTTTCTGACATAAAGTCATTAAAGGCATTAAAATGAAGGTTGCTTGACGATTTTGGGTAAAAACTACTTAGATTTGGCATGGGGCCTAAACCAAGAATTGTTATCATGTAAGTTGCAACTTTTCTTTAACGACATTAAATTAATAACATCTTGACATTGCTAGAATTTTAAACTGCAAAAAAACTTTGCGTTTTTGGATGAGTCATGTATAAAAAGCTTTTCGCCTCCTACTCCAGCCTGCTGATAGTTTGTCTTTGTCAGTAGAGAAGCATTACCTAACAGCGGCAAGCACTTCCTGCTATTTTACAATTAATTAAAGTTAATTCCTCTCGGTCGAAATTACATTGATTAACAAAAACAGGTTGAACTAAGAACAATCTGGTCTAAATGTTGCTTAGGGACCAAGCGTATCCTTCCTCCGGAAGATAAATGAGTGCTCAATTGTATCAATGTACTTATTATGAACTACCATTCCCCACCCAGAAAAATAAAGAATTAACAAACGGCTTTTGGATTGATCCTGTCATAAAAAATTCGGCACGAAATCCATCTGATAAACCTAGACACTTTAGTGGCAACGGATGGGATCCCGAGCCTTCCGCACGGACTTAAATCCCACGACATTATCCCTATGCAATACGGCACATCCTGCAGATAGGCTATTAATGGACCTCCACTGTCACCTTCGCAAGTGGTTTCGTTCTTTAACCTATACCCGACAACGCAAATCTGGGTGCTATCCACTCGTGCGCCATAACGGTTCACTATTGCATTGCAGCCTGGAATATCGTAATCAGCGAGGATACACGGTTTGTGTTACACAAACTATAGGTATTTATAATGCTGGTTTGGGCCATTTGCAAATCCGCGGTAATGGCCGGGTAGGTAGATCTTCTGTAACCCCATCCGATTATTTCGACTACACCGTAGAATTCTTGACCAGGCCTCGGCAATCTGATCGAATTCAGGGTAGTGGATCTGTTAAAAGGATATTCGACCCTTATCAGTCCTATATCGTAAGGATCGATGCCACTAAAACAAGGCACTCGCTTTGTTCGAGAATGCACCCGCGGTGGTAACTCACCCTCTGAACCGTGTATGATTATAGTGTCTTACAACTTTCCTGATTTGCTTGGTATCGGAACTGCTGTACAAGTTTGTGACGCCGGCCACGACTTGTAGGTCCTTTAGTGGATATTGCTTCGCAAAAATTACGCAGTGGGCGGCCGTTAAAAGCCACACGTTGTTTAGAATCACACACGCACAGAAATGCCCGTTCCGAACATGCTGATAGGAGGCTATAAACGGATACTCGCCATTCGGAGCGTTGAGACCATTCGCGATCCTTTTGTAACGCGCTAAATTATGGGAGGAGGCTAAAATACTACGTTAAATCACCTGTTGTAACGCGAAAAATTTTACCAAGTGCCGTGCCCAAACATAAGAGACTTACGAGCAACGATTTCATCTTCTCAATGCTCACCAAGTGCAAAATTCCTCGTTTAGTACTATTTCTCTTATCATGGATTTGAAGAACATCGCCGTAATCCGCCCGTATTACAATTTACAGGCGCCCGCCAGTGGAATTTCCTGACTTCATTATCTTTATTTTTTTGGAAAAGATTATTGAATGGCCGACCGTTCCAAACCACCAAGATGATCGTAAACCATCGATGGTATGGAGTTTGATGGGATACCAAAGTAGATAATTTCGACGAAGGTTGCTCTTATCTTAATTGCGACTTTACGCTTATAATCCTGCACGTATTAGCGATAAACATTGCAAAACGTCCAATTTAGTCAATTTTATTGAGTAGTTCGGAAATTCGCGGAATGAAACGTCGTATTATGAGGAGGTTGACGAAGAGAATGCAAACAATTTCAACCCATTCAGGTTTTATGTGAAAGATGGTGGTGTAAGATGTGCTTCAACAAGGCTTTATTTGGAGCAGTTGTTGAATGGATTAAAAGATAGTATATGTATGCTTTAAATTTAACTTTATCAACTGTAGGAACGCTATCTAAGTAATCGTCAACATAATGGCGATTAACAATCTTGGATACGTCATTCTTTAGATACTGAGCACAATACGGTGAACAGGTTGAACCAAAGATGCGCATTTGATATTCCGTGGGTGATCTTTTGTCCATCCCTCTCCATAAGAAGAGCTGAGTTAAACGATCCTCTTCTCTCATGACTAATTGTAAAAACATTTTTCCAGTATCTCCGCTCGGAGCAATTGGAAATTGACGAAACGTGAACAATACCAATACGATGTTGTAAGTAAGTATCCACCTCTCAACATGACAATTACTTGTAACAGCTTTGGTATATCCTTCGCGAAAACGATCCTCGATCTTGTCTCTATAGCCTGATGCAGAGGTGTGATCTCTGTTCATCTCCAAATGACGTAATTGTCACAAGTCCTCTTCTTAGCATTTTCATCAGTTCAATAGACCTTTCGTCCTTTTTTGAGCAATCAAGAGACTCGATAAATATTCTTTGACCATGCGATGAAACTCTTCGTCACAGTCGTAAGTGATACAGAAAGTCTAGGGCCACGCAGTCACGTTGTAGGGCTGAATATCCATGAATAACCCAACTTAGTAACGTACGAGAGAGTATAGGGGCATTTGGACCAGCTTTGTCTAATTTAATGAGCGTTATTACTCTCATAAATACCATCCCCCCATATCAGTGAAGTTAGCCTCGCACAATAAAAAAATCCAGAAGTTAAAGAGTATTATTGTTTGTTTTTTGTTAGTTATTGATTGTTTTGACAAAAAAATCGTTTCGCAATGCAGTAGCTATTACAAAATTTGTTAAATGGACGAGGCTAACTTCACATTGCCCGACCCACATTTGATTTTTCAAAGTTGAATAACATTCTTGCATTTCGTGAGGTTAGTTATTGTTTGTTTTGCTATAATCAGCGTTTGTTTCGCGAAATGCAATTCACAGTAATAGTTATTTACATAATTCTACATCTAATCTACATAAAAAAAACAGAAAAATTACTCATTATTGAAGTAGGAGGCACCCTCCGGACCGAGTACTTTAATTTCCGAGGTAACTAGTGTCATTTTACTGACGAGTTTTGCGTTAAAATTTTCCCGAAACCGTCTTTTCTAATATTACATTTAAATTTTTACGTACATATTTTGACAGGAGTGACAGGTGGCAGGAAAAGTAGTAAATTGTTACTGCTACTGTCATGGAAACGACATAAAGTAGGCCTGGAAATGATGGTTTCATGACGGGGAAAAAATTGTGGACAAGCCAACTTCATACTAGCCTGATCCAAATTATTTATTTTTACTGCTCTGCAACTCAAATATATAAAATATAATATTTAACAACTGTTCTGAAACAGGTTACAGGAATCACACGGTACTGTAAATCAATTGGATTTATGGTTGAGAGAAATTTACCTATAGCTTATAGATACATTAGGTACTATAAAAGTTTGCGAAAACTTACCCTTCGTAGTAGGCTATTACTAACATAATATTTACTAACATTTGGAAAACATGTTTTACTGTGTTAATCGTGTAAACAAATATAGAAAACGAGCTAGAAAACGAGCTCCTGGGTATGGCTATAGCATGTGCAAAACCAAATTTTGAACCTGGTGGTAGTTTTGCTTTTATTTAAAGTGTTATGTATGAAATGTCATTTAATTGCTTCCATAAAGAAGAAAGTTGGCACTGCACATCATGCACAAAACCAAATTTGGAAACTGGCGTTAAATTTGCTTTTATTCCAAATAAGTATAAATTGTGCACAACTCTTATGCAGATAAGGCGCATTTTTGTAAACCGAAGTAGCTTAGTAAATAGTTGGGTTATAAGGTAGTAGCATGCTATACCTATCGATGTTTACATTATTGGTAGAGTATGAGCAGGGAATCCTTACACATTAACATTTAATGGCCGCCTGTCATACATTCAAAGTGTACGCTATAAAATGCAAACAGAATCAAGACCATCGAGAAATTCTCAGAAATATTGCATCCTTCCTCCAACATTTAGGAGATATTCACAAGTAAGTTTTTGCATCGCCAGTAGATGTGTCTCGTCTAGAAAATCTTTTGTTCTCCTCATAGGGAGTACCCTTCTCCGACCATCCGCTCCTGAAATATAAGGATTGATAACCAATCACGATAAGGACTTGAGGAGGAGGACTACGATTGGTAGAAACTGTTTCCTTTCGTTGAGGCGTTTTATTAGAGTACCATGAAAGATAAAATCAATTTCTACCCCCCCGTTACCACTAATCTCGAAAAATGTCGCGCAAGTTATAGTTTGTAGAAACACGTTTTACTTTCGAAAACAGAATCTTTTGGGGGAGGGGGGGGGGCTTAAGATAACCAAATTTAATGACCTTTGGGCACACCGTTAAAGTATAGGCTACCTATTGCAAAAAATCCAGAATTCAGGTTCAAAACCGCAGAAGTGGGTCCGGACGGCACGACAGACGGACGGACGGACCAGACAAATTTATTTATTTTTGTCTAAAGGCCCCCCCCCCCGCCATGAATTATTTCCTGAGATGCCGTTTTTCACTTATAATTGCATAAGGGGTTTGTATTTTACCGAGTAAATGAAAATCTGTTGCCTAGCAATTAGACGAGAAAAACTGTCAACTAATAAAAATGCGACACCGCAGGTGGAGCATTTTTAGGTTGACAGTTTTTCGAGTCCAATTGCTAAAAGGAAACAGATTTGAATTGCAACAACCCAAATTTACTCGGTTTAAATACAAATCTCGAGTGTAATTCGGCAGGACAATTTAACGAACAAGAAATTCACCAAACTAATCAATTATTGACAAGACGTCAAAGTAGTCATATGGGAAAGGATAATGCGATAATTGGTTCGAAAATGAATAGTGAAAAAACCACTAGTGCATTTGTCGCTGGAAAAGATGCAGATAACTTTTGCCGCTGTCAAAGTGACAATTGCACTGCGGCTTATGCGATTTTTTGTACATGAGTTGAATTGTCAAAGTAAAACCTGCGCAACTTTTACATGCGACAACCAATTATTGATCTCAAATTTTGCCTTTGGTGGTTGGTGTCAAGTGAAACTTTTGAAAATAGGGGGAGGGTATACGTTCTACATTTCATGGCACGTATTTTAATAAAAGGTCCCATCAAAATGAATTCTTCCTTCGTGACTCCTTTTCGTGATTTTCGGTAATTTCGAAAAATCCTCGAACACGTCAATTTTGTATTCGAGGGGGACAACTTTTGGAATACAAATCACGAACCCAAGTCTTCACCCCTCTACGTAGGGAGCTTAACCCCTAAAATTTTAAATGGAATCCTATGGCAAATGGCATATTATTTGAAATCCAATTTAATCGTGATTACTAATCTGATTTGCTTTTTAAATTCTATTGATTCGTTTCGGAGAACTGACAGGTTCACTTAAGTTTAACAAACAAATTGAAGCGTCAAAATAAAATTTTAATAAAGGTGACAGATCGCATTTGTTTTGGTTTAGAAACGAATCAATTTACTCGCGCTCTCTCCTATCGTAATCAAAACTGTGTCAGTATTTCTGCTCTTCTCATACATCCTTCCTGAGAAACTTCTGTTGCATTTTCCCTTTAGCTACATTTTTTACGCGATTGTGCACAAATTACGATCTCAACAATTTTTTCCGCACTCTCTCTAACGTAATCAAGTAAAATGCTACTGTGTAAGGATTTCTGATCTCCTGCTACCTCTTTCTCAACAAACTCCTGTTACGTTTCCCCTGTTGCCAGATTTTTACACGATTTCGCAGAAAATAGGATTTCAACGACTTATTTCTGCCCTCCTGTTAAACTCTTCTCGTGATATACTGTTACATGACCCCATTTGTCACATTATGTACACGTTTAAACGACTTACTTACACTCTCCGCCTACCGCAATCATTTAGGTATTTATGTTTTCCTGTTACACCTTTCTCGAGAAATTCCTGTTACATTCCCACTTACTACATTTTTTACACAATTGTGCAGAAAATTACTTACGCTCTTTACCTAACATAATCAGGTGAAATCATACTGTATTGAAGTATTTATTCTTTCCTGTTGCACCTTTCTCGAGAAAATCACGTTACATTTCCCCCATTGCTACATTGTTCCTGCAATCACGCCATCTTTCGGCCGAAAACTGGAAGAATGTTAAGTATAACTTCTTTCGTTTACTCGGCTGAGGTAAAGCGGTGGTTGTACAGTCGGTGCAGATTCAAGCCATTTGTACTTGCATAAAGATCGGTAATAGGGGATTCGAGTGGAAGGTTTAAATCGGAAGCAACGAACGGGTCTAAGTGAGGCAAACCGATTTCCGATATCCCACTTCTAACGTTCTCGTTTAGACTGTTGGCAGCACTCGCTTATGTTCTGGTCGCCTTGGTAACATCTTGGAAAGTAGCTTGCTGGAATGACACTTTACCAAAATCGATTCGTTGATGCAAATCACTCCCAATTTTCTTTTCTTATATCGCTGCTATGGTAACCACATAATTTAGTTGCTTTCTTCATTGGTCGAAATTCGATATGGATAATTTTAAATGCGCAATAGACGCACTCCGAAGTTTGTTACGTTTACCTTGATAAATGCAATTCGCGGAAATCGGGGTTTTCGCATGTGTACTACGTCCGTTGTTAAACAATGTCTCCTTCACGAAAATTAACGACACTAG